AACAAAATCGCCATATGCGAAAAAAAGAAATCGCCAAGCGAAAGATAAGATCGATCTGATGATCGAAAGGCTTATAAACATCAAAAAGATCCGATCTGTTGATCAGAAGAAACAAAAGGATTTTGAGTTTTCTCTTCATCCCCTTCGTGAAAGATTTTAGTGTGAGAACGGAGAGGAGAGAAATAAACTCTCTTTCCTAAGTTTAAATATATACAGATATATTTATTCAAAATTTGACATAACTATTGTCATAACTAAATTAAATAACGATAACCAATCATCTTAAACATGTCTGATGCAACAAAATAATTTACATCCAGTTTTCTCACCTAATAACGTAATTTCAGTTCCATTCCTAACAGCTAAACCTTTTATAAGTAAGTTTTTATTCAAAATATTTTAATAAGTTTAAATAAATACAAACAGATCTATACATGTCACGATTGGAAATGGGTGATCACATTAGATCTTAAAGTTAAATAAATCTATTTTTATTAAATTTAATTCTGTTTATTTTATTATCAGTTTTATTTGATATATATATATATATATATATATATATACTTTGAAAGACTATATAGAATTTAGATCTAATAACTTAAAAAATATTTTAACATATTTTTGGTATTAGATATTCAAACTAAAATCAGTTTAAGTTGATGTCAAAAAGAAATATTTGAATTAAAAATATATATTTTGGTTCACAACAAATACATATAATTGTCAGCAATTAGAATAAAGTGATCTAACTGAGATAAGTATGGGTATTCAAATATCAATTTAGATACGGGTCAGTTTTTTTGGAGTATCGACTTTTTAGGTTTGAAAAAAGCTAATTCGTGTATTATCAATAATTGGTCAGGTTCACGTTGGTTATCCTAGGTCCGGGTTGGTATATGTCTCATTTAAAAGAACCGAAAGTTTTATATATTTTTTATAGATATACGATTAAATTTAGTATATTTTTAACCAAAAATATCAATTGATTCGAAAATTTATATTCAAATTATCCAAATTTACTCAAATTTCCGTAGACAAAATTATCTCTATCTATTCGATTAAAATATGATCATGACCAGTTGATAATATTATATCCAAATTTTTATTTTTTTATTTATTAGACCACATATTATTTTCTTTATTTATTGCACATAAAAACCAATGATTCCTTTTTAACTAAAAAGGTATAGATACCTATATTAAAAAATAGATTTATGGATTTCTCAAAGAAAAAATAAAACAAAAAATTATTTTTCAAAACACCACAAATATAAAAACAAAAATTTTCAAAAATGAAAAAACTAAAACAAAAAATATACCCGTCCTTAAAAGGACGGGTCAAAATCTAGTTCTACATTATTTCAAAATCCATTTTAGATATATAAAATTTGACCTAATACGTCGAGTCCTGCCCATTGGTGAATTAACATTTCGACATTACCGAAAAAGGAAACCGACATGTAGATAACACGTGACTAGTCTGAATCCACGTTAGTGGATGCCAAGATACTCTCGTATAATTCAAAAAAAATTTAACCTAAATATTTGCTCAGTGCAAAGTTAAGTGGTACTGGGACTTTTCAAACTTTTGGTGCTAACTATAAAATAATTACGTGAAAATTCTTGAGCCAGGAATTTACCAAAACCAAAAAAAAAAAATCTTGACCAAAACATGCCTAAATAAGCAGAACATTGGAAAATCCATTGCGTGAAAATTCTATTATTTTCAGAAAGAATTACACTGAAAGACAGTTTTGAGTTTTTTATAACATAAAAAGACAGTTTGTGCTACCAAGACACTTTCTTCTAACAATTTCTCTCTTTTCTAAATAAACTAGTCAATTCTCAACTAAACTTATAACTAACCAAATCAGTCTATTTCACGAAATAATCTCAACCACACATCTATCTCCCACCCAAAGACTAAGATTATATCTATTTTTTTTATTGACATGATCATAAACAAACTGGGTCCCATTATCTTTCTTCTTCGTCTACTTCTTCCCAAACATTCTATTTTTTTCTAAATTGAAATCTGATTCCTCAGTTTTTTTTTCAAAACAACATGCATGTAATTATTTTCTTTGTTTCTCAATCTATCTTATAAGATAGGTCAAGGTGCATCTTCGATTATGATTTAATAATGACATATATGAAAAACGCCATCAACAACAGAGACATTATCAACTTGTCAACTTTGGCGTAGCAACGACGGAGACATTGACGATGGTGGAGAAATTTCGACGGCAAAAATGATGCAGAAGACCCATCACCCACCATGGACCAGACTATGAAATTCAAAAAAATTCATCCACTAGACCACCACCAGCGAGAATCGTGACTGTTTTATTCCTGCGATTTTGATTGACTCACAATCTCAAACCATGACTGTATCAAACCGTGAGACCATCTTCCTGAGCGGCTACACTCGTCGTCGCCGTCAAGCTCCAATCACATTCGCTGAGAGAAAGCTCAATCAACAATGGTCAATTATCTCATATTTGCATATTTAGTCCATTAGTTTTAGGTTAAATTTGATTTTATCTAAAACACTCTGATTTGCAGATACATCCTATCTAATTGACCCTAAATTTCTGAATATACAATTTTGCCCTTGTTTGATTCACACAAATTCGGTTCATGTGTGTCCACATGTACAGTGAATTTACATTATCCATGTGTACATATTATCATATGTACACCTAATAAATCCGGTTGAGACAACTTGCTTTCAAACTAATGATATAGTTGGTGACGAAACAATGACTTTGGTTGTTCTTGCGCTAGGTTCCATGCTGAAAGTATAAAAGTAATTTTTGAATGTATATGCATGTCTTTATGAATTACAAAGATCGTTGATTGGTTAGAATCTGATGCGTAAATTAGATGTTTGTAAAAAGTGTCCATGTAAATGTTTGTAATAATTACGACATGAACAGCTTCCTATATATTAGTGTACACGTGAATATCATTACAACAGTGTACATGTGAACATCGTTAAAACATTGTACATGTGTACATCCATAATTGTACGTCACAGAGATAAAGTCAGAAATATATCAACACATATGCTATGAAGATCTAAAATACGCCTCATTTACGAAAACCATAACCTGTTTTTATTCACGTAAACCACACTTCCTTGTCCTTATATCTACAAATATAATAGTGTACACAAGTTTGTGTGAATCAGATTATTGTACATATCCACATGCAAAGATGGGTGTCTTGTGTAGCCTAAGTGTTATCAAATGTGGATATTTAGTTAGAATTTCCAACAGAACCATGAGTTATGTTGGCGACATGGTGATAACGAAAAATATATTACTAATAAAAGCATAAATATGTAAATGTAGAGCATGATTGACTGAAACTAGGCGTTAAAAAATTTTCTTTGTTATATTACTGATAAGAGCATAAATATGTTAATAAGCATTTCTCTCTCTGTTTTAGCTTCCAAAATTTTCTTTCTTATATTTTCGTATTGAGCTTTCACCATCTCTTCCTGATTCAGTTTTCACCATTTTGCAAGTTTCAAATGTGTACAATCATATGATATTATCATGTACAATGATCCACTTGTATAATATTGACCACGTGTATACCGATGCATAGATGCCCACATGTAAGACAAATTTTTGTTATTTAGCAAGAATAAAAAAATCACGTGTGTGTACCATTTGTAACATGTATATGTGTAGAAGTTTGAAAAAAATTGAAGTTTAAAATAAGTGGACGAGTTATTTTGTCTACACTTTGTAACGTGTACACATGTACATCGAAAAGGAACCAATATGTATAAAAAGGTTGTACACATATAGGTGAATTGGTGGTTTACTAAAACAATACCAAGATACATAATAATATATATGCACATTTGGAAGTATGAGACCAAATAAAAAGAATTTATTTGAAAATCAGAGACATTTGTGGCAAAAACATAACAAAACGAAACGACAAGAACGAAATGTTGTAAAATTAAAAAAAAAAATCTATCTTGGTTTGGATGGCACAACTAAAATCTCAGGTAAAATTTGTGGACACTTTGTAAAATTAGAAATTTGAGACAAATTGGAAAATAAATAAGAACCGGAATTCCAAAGGTGTAAATAATTTAAAATTCACCATTGTTTCTCTAAAGAAGCTTTCTCTTTCATCCGTGACCAAATTTGGTGATATTCTCTTCGATCTGCAACTACAATGAGGAAGAGACGACTTGACTTTAACATGAAAAATTAAGCTGTGGTTTGAGGTTGCCGACAATGGAGCTCGTCGACAACGGAGCTCTCCGACTGTTCCTTTACGTCATTAATGGCTAATGAAGACTTGTTTGCAGATGGAACATGAGTATGGTATGAAGATGAATTGAGACGACGAAAGTGGATCTATAGTCGGATATCACAGCGGTGGTCTTCGATAGCTTCTGGTGGTGGAAGCTGAGTCACAACTACTCTGAAATCACCTCTTTTTTCTCACATCCGGTTTCGTGATTTATTGTCGGCAACTGTTTTGAGATTATGAAAAGGTAAAGGTGAAAGTAATTAAACACAACCCCACCACTCTTATTTGAAATTCCAAAACGAACCAACTAAAAAAATAATAATAATCTAATTAAACTAACTAAATGAAACGAGACCAGTTGCACTTTTTGGAATCTTTCTTTAAAAAAACTACCTCAATAGCGGTAACTGCTTTATTGTGTTAAAAAAAAACTTAAAACTGCCTCTGAATGTAAAAAACTCTTATTTTTGTCTATATTTTTTTATTATTTTACTTCCCAGTATAAACGTAATACTTTATTACATGGAATCTGCAACAAATTATACACAAGTACCGTCAAGATCAACACGTCAGAAACAAGACAATACATTCAAAGTTATAAGAAAATAGTATTTATTTAATCTGCCAACTAAGAGAAACATAATAATATCTAAGAATTAAAAATGTCAGACTACGAAAATTCTTAGTACAATTTATCTAATTGTACGAAAAAGAGATTTTATTCAAGACTCAATAATCCTCACCAAGAAACCCACCTCTCTTGTTCTCTCTATCGTAATTATTGTTGCTGCAATTATTGTTATAGTTATAACGATCATTACTATTGTAATTATTGTTGTTGTTACTATTACTACCCTCACCAACTAAATCATTACGTTGAACCCTAAACGCATCGTTTTGATGTTCTTCACTCATTTCTTCCTTGGGACTGTGGTGAAACGGAAAGTACCCCGCCTGCGTCGCCGAAGGTACAACAGACGGAAGCTTCGAGAGAAGCGCCTCGAGGCTACTCATCGACGGCGTTATCTTCAATTCTTGCGGCTGGTGGTGGTTGCCATGGTAGAAATGCTGTTGATAATGCTCATGCTGCGACTGAGGAGGAGCTATTCCGGGGAAATGCCACGTGTCAGTAGGAGAAGCGTTGATGAAAGGGTAGCCCGAAGAAGAAGGATGAGGAAGAAGTACTCCAGGGATGCTTTCGATATAGCTAAGTTTTTTTCTTAGCATCACAACATAGCTCAAATCCTCTATCACCTTTAATATAACATTTTAAGTATGTACGTAAATTATCGTCCGTATAAATATATATACAGAAAAAAAAAGAGGTAGGATGGAGAGAGAGACCTTGTTAACAGCTCCTAATTGGACAACACCTTCTCGAACAGAAATCAAGGCAATGGTCTGCAAAACATTTTCATGTAATTATATATATATATATATATATATGGAAGTATGTATATATGTTGATGTAACAAAGAATGATACCTCAATTACAAAAAAACAAAAAACAAAGAAAGATACCTTGATGCCAGATTGAAACTGAGCTTCCCATGTCCTAGACTCCTAGGTAACTGCACAATTACATAATTTTTTATTAATGTATGGTTAATATAATGCTTATACATATATAAATCTTTTTTTTATCAAACGAAAATTTAGAAATCAAAATGTGCAATTTGAATATATTTCAGATGTTGATCAAAAAGAGAGAGATACTTTTTCTTCCTTCCAAGCCGAGAAGACATGCATGTGTATATATATATGTAAAAGCAATATAAATGATTTGTATGTAAAGTCGTGTATATATATGTATATAAGCATATGCTTACTGAGTCAGCAGAATTGTGCCAAGCAGATAAGAAGTTAATCTCTTGGTCATTAGGTTCTTTGTAAATCCACTTGTGACTGTGATCGGCAGCTACTTTTCCTATCAACCTGCACAAAATTCGATAAAATTTCAATCATTAGAGAGAATAATTAAACTAATTAATAACTATTAGAATAGTAGTTTATTTAGTTGACAATGATTTAATTAAATACTCCCTTTGCCAAACAATGAGATTAAATTGTCCCCTCTCAGCAACTGTTCGATCAAAAACACTCTGCAAACGATCCTCTAGACTTTTAAGTAATTATGGATCATAAGCTTTGGATAATATATGAACACTGATTCATAATTATTATCTTTTTGTAACATATTCATAACTTTCTAAAACTAACTTTTTTGCATATACATACGTATGGATATAAGCTGAGTAAGAAAAATAGTTATTGAAATAGTATGGACTCTGGTCCAGAAAAAACCCGGTTAACCACAAAAGTGCAACCGAAAATGGAGAAAGTAGACCAAATTAATTATTTTTTGCTGAAAAAACAACGTATTCATATATGTGAGTATATTATCCTCGCATACCCTTCTCCATAGTTGTAGATTTCATGAGACATTTTGAAGAACAACTCAGGCTGAATCCCTTGATATTGCTGATAATCACTATTTCCGTAAGCCGTCGAGCTACCACCGTCGCCGCTACACTCACCGGAGCTAACTTCCTTGGCAGAAGCTGCAAAGTTGCAAAACCCATCTTCCCAAACCAAGATCCTGTAATAAATAATATACAATCTTATTGTTAATTATAAACACTAAGAATCGTTATATGTATAATAGTTTGTATATGTGTTTTGACTGGTACCAGTTTCTCCGGTTCCCTCTTGATCTATCATAAGCTCCTTGACCATCCCATCTACTTGTAAACAGCACCAAATCATAAGAACATATTTATCATTCAAACAAATATCTATTTTCCTAACAAAATTACACATTTACTTTTGTAACACTTAAAAATCAAAGAATAGTAACTGCAGAAAAATCAAAGAAAAATAAAAAAAAATCCTATAAGAAAAAAATAGTTAGGAAATTTTAATCATAAGCTTACTTGGGGGGAGGATAATTTCTGGGTAAGATCCTCCAAAAAACTGCATAAACCCATTGGGAATTCTCGTGGATGCATAAGCTTCTTAGTGTGTGTTGAAGAAGATGAGTCACAGCTAATGGATTTAGATGTTCTTCCATTTATTCTAAAAATTATAAGTTTTATTTTGGGTTCTTTTTTCTTTGTTTGTGTTTGGTTCTAAAGACTTCCTTTAGATAGAAGAAGGTAGAAAACCCTCACCGTCTATCCTCCTTTATATAATAAGCTTATAGATCCATCCCCCAAAGCATCTTTTTATTATTATTTCGTTCACGTTTGGATGGGGATAAGAAACTAAATTATTTACCTATATGGCTTTTGGTCGTGTATATACTATATGACTTATTCTTAGGTTCACATAGATTTATCAATCAATAGTATTGAGTTATTTTATATTTGATGTCTTTTTAAAAAATGAAATATTGTCAACTTATATTATGTTTTGAAATAAAAAATATAAAAATAAATAAAAAATATTAGTAGTTGCAAAAAAATTAAATATTTTTAATACTATCATCAAAACATAAATAAAAATACTAAACACTAAATATTAAAAATACTAAACGCTTAATCCTAACCTCTAAATTCATGGAAAACTAAATAAAAAATAATAATTACTAAAAAAAGAAATGTTTAAGATATTTTTAACGCCGTCAATATAACACTAAACCCTAAACCAAAAACACTAAACCTATAACATAAATCATAAATCCTATAGTTAGAATTTATCCAAAGATTCAGGGGTTAAGATTAAAGGTTTAGTATTCTTAAAGATTTAGTATTTAATATTTTTTATTTAGTGTTTAAAATTTATCCAAGAGTTCAAGATTTACATAAGAGTTTAAGAATTAGGATTTAGGGTTTGGAGTATAGTGTTTTGCTCACAGCGTTAAAAATACTAAAAAATTTGGCATCTACTAGTATTATTATTTTTTTATTTTAAAAACATAATATATATCGACAATATTTTATTTTATTTTTTAAAAGATATTGGATATGAAAGAACACAATATTATTGGTTGGTAAACCTTTAAGTTTATCCCTAGGATGAATCTCAAAATAACTCATACTATATAGCCATTTACTAAACGACATTATATTCTTGTTTATTTATTTCCTAGTAAAACTCATATTTTTCTGACGCTTGTAAAAATGTAAGCACAACCGATTCCTTAGAAAAAATATATATATTTATTAGTTGCAGTTAATTTCTTTAATGTAAATTTATTTCGTTAATACTCATTTCCTATTTTTATTTAGTAGTCTCTCCGTTTTAATTTTGTTGTCGTTGTAGGGTAAAATATTTGTTTCAAAATAATTATCATTTTATAATTTCAATGCAAAATTTATTAAATTTATCTACTATTTTATTTTTCTATTGGTTGAAGTGTGACTAGATGTATAGGTAATTGTTTTTATAGAAAATATGTTAAAATTAATTATTTCTTTAATCTTTGTGTAAAACCTAAAAGGACAACTAAAATGTAACGAAGGGAATAATAGTTAGTACTTCCTCAATTTCAGTTTACTAGTAGTTATAAAGTAAAATTTTGTTACAAATTAAGTGTCATTTTAGAATTTCAATGCAAAATTATTTTATTTTTTTCGACAATGCAACATTATTAGTATTCTATGATGTATAAATTTTTCTGTTCTCTAATTTATTTTTTTATTAGTTGAAATATGATTAAATATCTGGTTAATGATGTTATTAGGTATAAAATATGTATAAAAACTTTTTTTTAATCAGGGTGCACAAATTTAAAAAGACTATTAAAATAAAACGAATGGAGTATAACATACTAGCCTAAACTCAATTTTATTAGTTTTAGGTAAATGGTAGTTAGGTATTTGTTATTATACCACTATATACATTTTAATAATTTATGTCAAAACGTAAGTATATGTGTATCTATGATATCTGATTTAACATTGTGAAATTAGTAAAATAAAAGATGTTATATCATTTTATTCTTGTGTACAACATGTTCACTAGTAAGTCTGATATACGGTTGGTGTGCAGTAGACGTTGATGTTTTTCTCTAGCTAGTGAGTAAAGCTCAAATAGTATAACTAAGAATAACTTTCATCTTCATGTTTGTGCATGTTTTCATCTTTACAAAAGAAATAATCAATCAACATATAAAATGTAACAGCGATAGAATTTGATACATAAGACCCAACTCGTAGTCGATCGTCATATATATCATATCCAAAATCAAACTGCATCAGATTTTGGTGTTGACACATGCCAATATCATATAATCAGCAATTTGATTATCATGTAATTTGCTCAATATCTTTTCAGCTATACATGTTAGTCTCGTAAGTTGAATATATATAAAATTTACTGTTAGTCCGGACCAGATAGTATCCAAGAAACCCATTTCCGTAATAAGTTAATGAGCAAATAACATATTTATCATTATTGGGTTTTAGGCAAAATAAGAAACTGTCTATTTACCTGAAAATCACGTATAAGTTAGTGTATACTTGTTTATTCTGACAAAAACTGTCAAATTGATTTAATTTCAAATCCTATGAAATAAAGTTTGGGGTCTCCTTTTAGCAACACATTTATTTTCAGTTCAGTGGCCAGTTAACGAAAACTGTACGTCTTTCTTGATTCCTTTGTACATATGCGTCTTAATTTGTCGCTCTCACCACTCTTGCGTAGGAACTTCAAATTCCAGTCATGTAATAATTGTGTCACTACTTAACGTTCAAATGTAATTCGCAAAACATCATTTCATCAATATTTGCATGTATCCACATATGATGAATTATGTTAAGAACCCATTACACCGGAACGCTCTCTTCCGCCTGTGTTCGTCGGAAATTGAAGCTTTTAGTTTGTTTGTCTTCTTTTCCTCGTTTGTTTCTCCGGCTCTAGTCTTAGATTTCGCATTATGGTTTTGTTTGTCCTTTGTTCTTTCAGGTTAGCGCTGTTTATCCGGTGTCTAAAATTTGTAAAGTTTCGGATTCCCACATTATGTGATTGTTTAATAAAATTATATTAGGTGATTATCACGCGCATGCAAAGTGAAATTCATATTTTACTAATTGTTAAATATTAATTTTGATCGTCAAACAACCATATCATAAGTTTCTAAATATACATGCATTTCATAAGTTTACAAACATACAACCATGAATCGCCAATATAAAGTTGATAAGTATGGTGATGTTTGTTGATATTTTGTTTTTGTTTGTTAAACTTATTTAACTTATATTGGACTTCATTGATATCATCTATATGTTATAATTAAGTGTATTTTTGTAATGATATGATCAAATAATATTTGAGATCTGCGCTTACACGGATAAATATTCATTATGTATATAAATTATTTATATGTATTATTATTTATTTACGTATTATACAATAACAAATATATTAAATAATTGAGCAGAGAGTGACTATTACGTATATAATTAAACTGGAGTTAACACATAAATAAAAACAACCCTTCTTTATATTTACAATAAGTTTTGTTGGTAAGCAAATAAAAAATCATTTATTTATTTATATGGTATATAATTAAAATTAAATGATATTGACATAGATATACAATATATTTTAATATGAATATTGATTAACTGAGCCTTCTTGCTCAATGCAAATTTTGAAATTAATAGGTTTATGTATTTTATATATGATATATATTTTAATTTAAACGATATTGAAATATATATATATATATATATATATATATATACTTTAATATATATTAAATGAGATTTCATATTTATATGATTATATGATCATTTGTATTTTGTTATAAAAAAAGTTAAACAATTGACCACAAAAATTTCAATGTTGATTTTTAACGGTTTTAGTTATTTATAATCGTTTGAAAAAGTTCAAAATAAAGCATATAAGGAAAAATCTAATTTTACAATTATATGCTTAATATGATTGTTTAATTTCTTTTAAAATATAAAATTCAAAAATAATGGAGGATACAAAACTTGTTATCAAATCTTTATTATTCAAAATCATTAATTGTTATATATTTGTTAACCATATTAGGTAATTCTAAATTTTTTATTTAAGTAAAGAATCGAGAATATTCTTTTATACATTACTAGTTAATTTAAAATTAGTTTAATAAAAATTATAATATATGTTGACATAAACCAATTTTTTTATTTAAGGATTCTAAGAATTATTATGATGATATGTAGTTACCAAAATATGTTGTAATGCTCTAAGATTAATATATAAAATATTACTAAGAAAGTTAAGAAACCATTATTGCTTTGCCAAGTTATCACGAGTCTTACTTATATTTTATTTCTACAATAGTGTGACACACACATATAAGCATAGTTTTAAATGTAACGAATTATTTGTGTGTACATTAACCGCATTATGGTGAGTTATTGGTTTCCACCGGATAAAAAGTTATTACAATGTTGATTGGACTAAGGGCAACATTATGGCTAAAAATGTCTTCAAGTTTCTACTTTTTTATTTTTTTTTTCGTTTTCTGATTTATTAAAAAAGAAAAACTAAAAATAGTTTAATCGTGGACCGCTACGTATCAGTGAGGTCCACAAGCAAAAGAAAGACAAATCAAGAACGTCTCTTATTTGGCGATTTTTGGCCAACGTTTTTACCAAAATTGGCGGGCCCCCTTAAGGACTGTGTTAAAACACAACGATAAAGATGGTCTAATGATCGATTTTCTTTCAGTGGAAATTGCTAACTCCACGTGTGATCATGTGGCGTGACTCTATAACTCTCACGTTGATTTCTCTATCACCAATGAACCAGTTCACAAAAGCATATAGTCGTGGAACCATCCTTATTTTTAGAGTGCAAAAGTTAAACCCAGTATGAAATATTTTTTTATAAATGACCCGGATAAACACCTACCTATAAATAAATAGTTAGGACAACATCAAGTTTTTTTGGGAGCTTTTTTTGGAAACCCATATATATTAAGGAAATGCAACTGAACCATGTAATGTCGAGAGTGTGTAAAAACTGGAACTGTACCTCTAATCATGCTTCTGATCCTGATGGTTTAATTGTCGTCATTTGGAAATCTCCTGCCACTGTCTCAATCCTCCACCAATCGAGGCAGTCTCTTAC